ATGTACAATGACTAGTTGTATCATGGTCTGAGCTAGGGATGAGCAAAAAAACGAACACCTGTTCGGTTCGCCTCGAACTTTTTGGCTTAAAGTGTTCGCCGGACAGTGTTCGATGTTCGCCCGAACACGTTCATGTTCGGGCCGCTGCTGCAATTTTCCCCTAGACGAACACGAACGTGTTCAGGGTTCGCCCGAACACGCCTTCATAGGCGAACGGCGAACACTTGTTTTTGCTTAAGGTGTTCACCGAACCGAACAGTGTTCGGTTCGCCGAACAAGGGTGTTCGTGCATGGGCGAACGCGAACACGTTCGTGTTTGCCTCTTGCTCATCCCTAGTCTGAGCCCACCAACTAGTCGCCTTGCTGCAGATCTCTGGCAAACTTGCTGTAGAACCGACCTACCATAGGCCGCCCCCCAGGCCCTGGGTTAGCGGGCTAGCTCAGCCCAGCGCCAGCCCGTGGTCATGCCTAGCATGTATGCTTGTTCTCAAATCAAGTTGACTTGGTGTCGCCATCGCAGGCCTTCTAATTTCTGAACATGTGCGAAGTCACGTTGGCTCTCTTTCGTATTCCCTTCATGATACTCACAACCTCTCGAGGTTGCTCATGTCGCTGATGGTGGATGGAAAAGACCCACTCAGAGAATTGTCGTGAAGAAACCTAATGATACAACATATACAGGGTGTATGGGCGCAAAGGAAGATTGAATATAGCAAGGAAACAATACCTCAATTTATGGACACATGAGTGTGGCTCCATATAAAGTGGATACGATCAAACCATTGCTACAGAGCGCATGATAAGGATGCCATGAAACTCATCAAAAAAATAGAACTGAACTAGAATGTAGGAGAGGGATGAGTGAACATGACATGCTGATATGTGATTTGTGATACAAGCTACCTACTCTAAAAGATGCTTGATTGTGAGCACAACACAAAGAAGCTGCTGAATTTTACCATCGACATTATTCCACAACGCTTCAAGAAACAATGGTGAATGATGTGCCGGGGTAGCCGAACGTTAGCATTTTGGACAGATTGACCAACCCTTTATATTATTGTCAATGTCCATAAAAATGAACTCTGGAAGCTCAGTTACGGGGCCTCAGAACCTTGCCCATGTATCTTACCGCCAGGATATTTCGCGACCATATAGTGAGGCTAATGTGGAGAGATTCGCAGCAAATCCTGCTCACCACTGTGAGTGGCGAGCTGGACCGGCTCACAACAGTGACAGGTCGCTGTGGGCACACAGGAGGAATGACTGCATTCTCTCTCTGCCAGTTCAGGGGCACCTTCCATCCCCAATGGATCTCAAACAGCTGTGCATGCACAGTGCTTAAAACGGCATACTCCATCGCATAATGTCTTCACTGTCTGCATTTGAACAAATTGATGAGAAACTCGAAGCAAATCCAAAGCTGAAATGCAAGATTCACCCGAAGCAGTAAAACACAAAAACCGTGTAAGCAATGCCTGCTTGTCTACAATGAACAAGCCACGAGCTTGGTCGGCTGCCCGACTGGCTCATCAGTGCACCGGCTCATGGCAATTTGAACCAAGCCAGCTTGTCTTAGACCTATGCTCGTGCCTACTGTTGATGGAAAAGGAGTGTTGGCCCCGCCCTCGCTTGAGCAACGCCGACGACTTGGTCGGATGTACTGGAGAAGCTGCTCAACGGGCTTCGACGAGCTGCAGGGGACCGCTGTGGCGCTGCTGTTGACCAGAGAGCTCGACAGCTGCAGTTGACTGGGCTGGGCGACTGGTGGGCCGTCGATCAGGACGGGCAGTTCGACCGGGAGGCGGACGGAGCTGTCCGTCGACCTGACAAGTGAGCAGTGGTCGACAAGATGAGCTCGGCGTCAACCGCTGACAATTCTCGTCGACGGAAGGGGTCCGTCGACCAAAGGGTAGCTCGAGAGGAGCTGTGGTCGGCTAGAGGCACCTGGTGACCAACCAGAGGCACCTGGTGGTTGACCAGAGGCACCTGGTGGTCGACCAGAGCAGGTGGTGGTCGACCAGGTCGACCGGGTAACCTACTCGACGAGTTCTGCGGAGGCACGCGAACGTCGTCGAGGTTGCGATGGCGAAGGCGACTTCGGGCTGGTAACCCAAAGTCGATGTGGCTCGTTAGGCGCAGACAACAGCCGGTGGATGCACATCGAGGCGAGTCGGGCCACTCGTTTGCGCGCACCTGCGAGCATACGCACTGCTGTCTTCTACGGGGCAACGCTGGACAGCCGCTCTGCTGCAGCCTTCGCACGCCGTCGACCTGCTATATTGGCAGGTCGCCTTCGGCAGTGCTGGCACGGCTCCTCTACGCAACGCTGGCAGGCGGTCGACTATGCAGTGCTAACGGTCGACCAGGCTAGCTGCAGAGTTGCTAATTGTGTGATGTAGTCATTGTTGTCATTGCTTGTTGAATCAACTCTGTAATTTCGACTTTGCTAGTGGAAACTCTTGCCGAATTCTCCTGTTAATGAGCAAGCGCTAAGGAACTAAGCAGAGCTACGATCACTCCTAGTAGTTCGTGCCAGCCCCCGTAGTCTAGCTCACCCACGTTGTAGAGTGACTCTCCGCACCTACTCTTTCATGCCTTCCCTGAACGCATTTTTTATGGTGAGAAAAGCTGATAGTAGCAAACTTGGTCCCTTCATCATGAGGCTTCCTAGGATTATGGTAGACCAAGCTCGGTTCAAGTCAAACAAACGAGCCATGGGTATCAAAGCGAGAATAATGCCCAGCGCAAACCCTCTCAAGTCCATCTCGATAATGTCTAGCCATGTAGGCATAAACCATACTGGCCTAGTTTCAGCTCTTGCTCTCATTAGTTTTTGAAGAAAGTGGTTCGGTGAACTTAGGGCACGATAGGAAGAAGAAATCTCCTTAGCAAGAAAATGGTACAAGTCTTACAAACTAGAGCAAGGTCCTTGTCAAGGATAATCCCTAGTGAAGTGGGAAGCCACATATATGTGGCTGAAATCTTGAGGCTAGCTGCAGCACCTCAATGCTGAGGGCTAGGCTAGCCAACCTTGCCAAGCTAGCAAGTGAGGCCACATGTTGCACATGTGGGCCAGGCTGGAACAACAGCCCACATGACAGCATATGGCACACCATAGAGGCCAGCAAGGTGAGTGTGGGATGAGTGGACAGGTGGCAATGCCAACTGTGACCACACTTCACTGTGGTGGAGTGTGGTAGAGTGTGGACATGTAATGTGGAGCATAATGAGAATGGAACCTGCAGCTACTGAGAATTGAACCCACAACCTCTAAGACCACAGGTGAGAATCTACCCTCTGGGACATATTTGCTGCACAACACCCCCCCTCAAGGATGTCCCCGGGGTAGGGTTCTTCAAGCGGAGACATGGGTGAGACCGAGAAGACCACGGATGCGAAGAAAAGGGTCACGGGGCAAAGGTTTGGTGCCAATGTCAGCGAGGTTGTCTTGAGTAGGAACATAGTGAAGGGTGACGGAGTGGTCGGCGACATGATCACGAATGAAATGGTGCTTGATGTCGATGTGTTTGGCCTTGGGATGAAAGACGCCGTCGTCCTTGACCAGAATGATGGCGCTGCTGTTGTCACACGAGATGCGGGTGGGGCCGGGTGGGGGAAGTCCAAGTGCAGTAAGGAGGGATCGAAGCCATAAGGCCTCATGCACCGCGGTGCCCAGAGAATAGTATTCAGCTTCACATGAGGAGGTAGCGACGACAGCTTGACGTTTGGACTGCCAAGAGATGAGTGACGGACCGAGGAAGAACAAGTAGCTCGTAACGGAGCGTCGGAGCTCGCCCTCCGGACCCCAAAAGGCGTCACACCACCCATGGAGTTCAAGGGTGTTGGGAATGCCGCCAAGGAGAAGCCCGAGTGAGGTAGTCCCTTTCAAGTAGCGAGCAACGCGTTTGGCAGCCGAGACGTGAGGAGTAGACCAATCATGAAGGTGACGAGCAAGAACTCCAGCGCTATATTCGAGGTCGCGACGGGAACCCACCATGGCATACATGATGGATCCGACAAACGAGGTGTAAGGAAAGGAGGAGGAGTGTGGTGAGGAAGTCACGGGCGGCTGAAACTTGGTGTCCATGGGGGTGGCAGCAGGGTTAAGTGGTGTGAATGAGTAGGTGTCTAAGATGGAGGTGATGAATTTGGATTGATGAAGGTGGAGAGTGCGTGAGGTCCGATCACGAGTGATGTGAAGGCCAAGGTAGTAGGAAAGAGGACCGAGGTCACGAAGCTTGAAGCGAGATGAAAGGGCACGCTTGAATGAGGAGAGAAGAGAAGAGGAGGAGGAAAGAATGATGAGGTCGTCAACATAGACGAGAAGCATGAAGAAAGATGCAGCTGTAGGCCGATAAGGAGATTGTGGAGTAGCAATGAAGAGGCCGGGGTCCGCATGGGCAGCAAAAAGGTGAAATGCAGCAAGCTCTTCACGAAGTTTGCGGTACCAGCACCGCGGCGCTTGCTTCAACCCGTACAACGGTTTGTGCAAGAGACAAACTTGCTCAACACCATGGACCGCCGGAAGCTCATAACCGGGAGGCTGCATCATGTAGAGAATTTCATCAAGAGTGCCGTTGAGGAAGGCGTTGGAAATGTCCAGCTGATGGACTTCCAGGTCGAAAGCGGCAGCAATGGTGAGGAAAAGGCGGAGGGTGGCGAAGCGAACGGTAGGAGCAAAGGTGTCATGGAAATCAACATCGTCGCGTTGTTTGAAACCTTTAACAACAAGGCGGGCCTTGCGGCGTTCAATAGAACCATCAGCATGCTCCTTGACCTTAAAAATCCATTTGCATGGAATCGGTTTGCACTTGGGTGGTCGAGGAACAACGCTGTAAGTGTCATTAGCGTGCAGGGCAGCGAGTTCCGCATCAGCAGCCTTGATCCATTCAGCAGCATCAGGGCCGGTGCGGGCCTCATGAATGTTTTGAGGTTCGTAATGATGATGAAGGGCGGCATTAGCGGAGGTCTTGGAAAGAGGAGGAAGGGTGAAGTCAATGGGTTCAGAAGGAGAGGGTAGGACCTTGAGCAGTGAGAAAAGTGAAGGATTGGAAGGAGCTGGAGGGGATGGTGGTGAGGAACTAGAGGTGCAAGGGGGAGGACGAGCTGAAGAAGGAGAGGAGAGGGATGGAAGGCGGAAGTCTTGCAGCGTCGAGGGCAGAGGAAGGTTTGAAAACAAAGGAGGAGAAGAGGGTGCTGGTGCTGGCAGATTTGGAGATGGTGGGAGGAGGGTGGTGGAAGAGGTCATGGGAGGTGAACGAGAGGGAGGGGAGGTTGGGTCTGAGAGGGAAGGGGGTGGAGGAGGAGGCGGAGAGGATGATATGGGTGGTGGAGATGACGATGGAGGTTCTCGAGGGTCATCCGAAGGTGGCGAAGAGGGCTCCATGAAGATGACATCACGAGAAAGTGTGACACGGTGCTGAGTTGGGATATAGATACGATAAGCTTTGGTGCCGTCAAGATGACCATACCCAACCATGACGCCAGCCGTGCTTCGGTCGTCGAGTTTGGAGCGGCGTTGCGGAGGAACGAGGACTGAAACGGGTGAACCGAAGATGCGGAGGTGTGATACGTCCGGACGTGCACCGGTCCATAGTTCTATGGGAGTCTTGGAAGCTGAACCACCCCGACTAATAGCATGATTTCGGAGATAGGCAGCAGTGAGAGCGGCTTCACCCCACCATCCTTTGTCCATGTGTGCGTCATGAAGCATGGAACGGACCATCTCAAGTATAGTCCGATTGGCGCGTTCAGCAACTCCATTTTGTTCGGGTGTGTACGGCGTAGAGCGGTGTCGAGCGATGCCATGAGCTTTAAGGAATGAAGTGAAGGCCTCGGAATTGAACTCCAAGGCACCATCGGAGCGAAACGCTTTGATGGTCCTCGGGGAATGCATATTGTGCACCCGAGTGACGTAAGCTTTGAAGCACGACAATGCCTCTGAACGATGGCGTAGGAGATACACGGTAATGTGGCGGGAATAGTCGTCGATGAAGGTGAGAAGGTAGCGAGCGCCTCCAATGGTAGTTCCATATGAAAACGGTCCAGCAATATCCGAATGAATGAATTGGAGCGGTGCTGTGGTGCGAGAATGGGACACGCCAAATGGTTGACGCGTTTGTTTCCCACGATAGCACGAGATGCATTCAGGAATTGAGGAGGAGGAGAGGTTAAGACCGGTGACCAGCTGCTGCCGATGAAGTGTTGACAAGTCCCGCATGTTAAGATGCCCGAAACGGCGATGCCAAAGGTATGAGGAGGTGGTGGAGACTGGACATGCCGATGGGTTGATGGGGGGGGCGGCACTACTCCCATGATGCAGCTGAAGATAAAACAGATTGTTGCGGGTAAAGCCCTCACCAATAAGAGCCTCATCAGTCTTGAGCTCAACCCGCCCAGCAATGGGGAAGGAAACGGCAATGCCGGCAGCTCCAAGTGCACGAACTGAGAGCAGATTGTGAACCGATGAAGGGAGAAACAGAACATTGTCTAGCTGGATGGTGGTTTCCGAGGTTTGGGAACGAAGAGTAGCCACCACCGTGCCGACTCCCAAGACCTTGTAAGTCTCTCCGCCACCAAAGCGAACGATAATATCATCAGTTGGCTGCTGGAGAGATGAAAACAGCGAGCGATCGGAGCAGATATGGGAAGATGCGCCGCTGTCCACCAGCCAGGAAGACGTCCGGACCAGGTTTGATGAAGAGGCCGTGAATGCCGATGCGTAGGGAGCACCATAAGGGAAGAGGAGGAGGAGGATGGTGAAGATGAAGAGAGTAGCGACGAGAGGAGTCCAGGTGGGGAGGATGGAGCCGTGGCTGGTGCTGAAAGCAATGTCAACGTACCGGGAATCAGGTACGGACTGAGAGGCTGATGGGGCAGGAGGTGTTGTGGAGGTCGAAGGGATGTCGGCGGAGGAGCTTGTTGACACATGCACCGAAGGCTGGATGACAGATTTCTCCCGTCGAGAGCGTTCTTCGATCTCTTTCTTCTTCTTCAACTTGAAGCATTCGTCAATAGTGTGTCCGGTTTTCTTGCAGTAGCGGCAAGTAGGGGACTGGCGGGAACCGGAGCGAATAGGGTGGGAGGGCAGAGATCACACGAGCACCCGTGCCTAGCCCGTAGTCTAGCCCCCGTTGCAGAAGTTATCTCCGCAGGGTCTCGGGTCAAAGTCGACCTAAGGTCCGACCCGTCTGACCCGACCCGACCCGACCCGAAATTCAACATCAGGTCGGGTTTTTGCCCGAGCCGGACAGACTCGACCCGGCTGGGCCAGGACATTGGAAGTCCTGAGCCGACCTGCCCAAAACCTGGGTTGGTTCGGGGCCTTTCGCTCATGCCTAGCCGAAATCGGGCAGCCGATGGCCCCGCGGACCACGATTGCCCGGCCCGCCCCGAAACAACAGCCCAATTTAGAGGTTCGGCCCAGGGCAGTTTCGGGGCAGGGCCGACCCGGCAGGGCCCAGCCCGCCCCCGTGCTCAACCCTACTGTACAGCACCACACTTACTTGTCATAGAATACAGGGGTGTAATGTTAACCTGAACCACATCTACTGAGGTTTCAGTTCAAAGGTTGGTGGCTCTGCTAGATGTTGGGAAAATTAGGCTGCCTTTTGCTTGCCTAGTCTGCTTTTCAGGTTAAGAGGAGGAGATGTAGCAATCATGGCACGTAGAGAACGAGTTGTTAGCCTTCAGCAGAGACGAGCGTCTGTGCCAAAGGGGTAGACGTATACGCAGGCATTTATCGAAGTGGGTTGGACACGGAAGGAGGTAAAACCAGTTAGGAAGGATGTAATGGAAACTGTTCTTTCTCCTAACCATTTTCACCCTACGAAATATTCGACTAAAAACTCTCATAGGTAGGTTCACCATAACCTGGCAGGGACATCATTCTTCTCGTGACAAGCTATTCTCGTGACAAGGCCATTGTACGATGATGTTCACCACCTGCTCATCACGGGTTGGTCGCATTTACGTAGGCCAATGCTCGTGCTGCATATGCGCATCTCTCCATGTTCACAGTCATGTGTGCATGCTCCCACTCATACTCACAAATCGGTCATCCTGTTCAAGGCACTGATGGAATCTGGAATGGATCCGGTTAATTGTTCGGATAATATCCAACTGGTGGACAGTGGAATGAAAAGGGTGGGGAACATGATAATTTTGTTATGAAACGGGATCAAGAGTAAAATAAAATGAGAGATTGGTGGATCCATCAAGGTGGTGTCGGTACTATTTGAGAAGGAGAGGCCCATGCAACCCACAAGTTGTCCACCTGCGCCTGCATGCATGGAGATGATAGAGACCTGGGAGGTGCATTTGGGTAGCATTCTACTGCACTGAACTCCTTTCAATATGAACCACGCAACGGAAAACAGAGGGAAACAGAGAAGGGAAGGGGGATGATAAGTTAGGTTAGACAACATTAACACCTTATACTGCCTCCAAATGTCTACCTTTCGTTACTGTGTTTACAAAGGGACGTTTTTGTTCTGCGGTGACATTTCGCCACATTTCTGTGTAAAATTCGTCCCCATGGCACGTAGCAAACCCTTTAGCAGGCCCCCAACACACTCATTGCGAACATTTCCACACCTCTCATATGCACCACCACAACCTCCCTCCTTCCACTCACCCATTTTCTCTTCTTTGTTGACATTGTGCACAGACCAGCTGCAATTACAACAGTTGCCATTCCCCTTGGCATGCCAACTAGTTTTCTGACTTGGGCATGATAGAACTACTAGAACTGTGCCTGTCCTGCTCTCTCTGCCCCTCTATAAAACCCCTGATTCTCCTTCGATAAAACATAGAAGATGTTCCTCAATCATGTTTAAAGATAGATTCTAACCTTAACAAAACTTTGAACATGACTATAACATGGAATGATTACAAAGGGTCCACGAAAGCAGACAGTGGGTTTGGATGAGAGGAGGACCGTGGGATGAACGGTTCAAGTAGCAAGGGAGTGCAAGTGAAGAACAAAGAAACACACAAAGGCATCCAGCGAATCCATGGTCCGCAAGGGCTCAATCAGCGAATGCAAGTACCTGCAGCTGCACCTGTTGCCATACCACTCGACATGCCAACTCGTGCTCTGACTTATGCATGGTAGAACTACTTAAGCTTTGCCTGCCCTGCTCTCTTCCTCGTAGGACCCCATCTTTAAAGTGATTCAAACGTACAACCGATTCAGCGTGGAAAATTGTTCCAGAATAAACATCGAACATGTTCACTTGCCCGATGAACCTTAATTCTTAATCCTGACGAGTTAACATGGTACCATCCTAACATGCCTTCAAGAACAGTAGGACCATCCTAATGGGCTCATCAAAGCAGACAGTCAGTTTGGAAGAGGGAGGGACAATGGCAAGGGCAGTTAAGGAAGAAAGGGAATGCAAGAGAAATACAAAGAAACACGCAGATTGCATGGCCGGCAAGGGTTAGCTCTCCAAAATGCAACAAGGGAGTGCAAACGCAGAGCACGCAGAATGGTGGAGGGAGGGAGGGAAGATGCAGGCACTCAAGTCAAGTCCAGCAAGAGTTGGTTCACACATGGGGGATGCAAGACCAGCTAGAGTTGGTGCTCTCACATGTCTGTCACCATGCCTTGGGCATCGCAGGTCACAACAGAGGCCCAGCTGCAGTCCCCCCCAGCCACCCACCCAGAGAAATTCTGCCCCCACGCTTGCTGCAAGTCCTGCAGGACTCGCACTGGTGGCAAATGGTGGGGGAGAGGGGGGCAGGAGGGCAAGAGAAGGATAGAAGCTGGGGCAGGGAAGAGAGGAGGGATAAATTGGCTCTCATCACCTGCGTGTTGCACCCTTCTCTTCCTCCCTCACTCATCACCCTGTGCCACAAGTGCGGAATGGACGCATGCGATGGTGAAGTAACTACCGTGACTCGCAGATTAAAAGTGCCACAACGATAAGCATTGTGCGCATGGGAGCATGGGCATGCGGTGGCCACTGACTTATCCGTTGAGAACGACATAAGATAAGAGGTGTAAACAGGAACGAGGTCAAATATGAGGTATATATCTTTGGTCATGAGCATTCCTGAGCTCTAGGCACTCCACCAAGTTATTTTACAACGAATACTAGTACTCGTGGTCGTAAATGAGCCACAACGCCCTGGTATTGCTGCATCCATCCATGGCAGCAAGCCACCCATACATCAAATCCCCCCCCTATGCTTGCTGGAATTCCAGCCAGCAGGAGTTGCACTGATTGCGCTGGCAGGTAGGAGAGAGGCTGCAATGGAGCAGGAAAAAGAAGAGATGAACGTATCAGCTCATCAACGCTTCGTATGGCTTTCCCTCTCTCTTTCAATCCCTGCACCAGACATCAGTAGAGAAGAGAGGTGCAATGTCAAACTTGAAATTGGCCGAACAATCTTATAAGCACCAGGCGTTGGAAAACTATTCTAATAGAAACACGATTCTGATGGATACATGCGATAGGCTATCGTTGAGCACCGGGCGGGCCGGGCCCGGCCCGGGTCGGGCCCACCCCGGGCTGCGCAAAAGCGGGCCGGGCTGGCCCGGCCCGACCCGGGCCATAGAAGGAAACTCTTGGCCCGAGCCCGCCCTCAAGGCGGGCTGGCCGTGCCCGGCCCGACCCGGGCTCTGCATGGCCCGACCCGGGCCGGCCCGGCCCGGCCCGGGTGCTGTCACAATCGCCCACAGGATGTATTTTTGCGCTCCGATGCGGCCCGGCCCGGCCCGGCCCGTACATGGGCGGGCCAAAATCGGGCTGGCCCGGCCCGCCCCGGGCCCACGTCAAAATTATGATGCCCGGTCCGGGGCATTTTTGGGCGGGCCCT